CACACACACACACACACACACACACACACACACACACCTGTCCAGCGAAGATCCCGCAGACACCAATGATGCAAAGGATGTTGAAGACTGCTGAGCCAACGATGGTGCCCACCCCCACATCACCATGGGTGATGAAGACACCTGCACACAGGGAGTCGGCCAATCAGAATCTGCAGTGACACCAACCATCTGGGAATGTCGTGCATGCACACACGGTATACATGTGTATGCAGGAATGTGTGTCTTTACCAATGATGGATGCAAAAAGCTCTGGTGCAGAACTACCAGCTGCCATGAAGGTGGCTCCTGCAACATCTTCACTCAAATCGAGTTTCTGCAGAAATAACACAGATGGGCATTTCATGCAGACGAACCAGCATTGTGTTACTCAAACACTGAAAGATTAAAGACTACAAAGAATCCTGTACCTCACATATCTTCTCCAGCGATGTCACAAAGTACTCGTCACATGTTATGGCGAGGGCCAGGAACATGTAGAGGGTCTGCAGACAGAGTTAAGTTTGAGTGTGAGAGAGAGAGAGAGAGAGAGAGAAGGGCAAAACAGATATGGGAGTAAACGTGTGTGTGCATGCATCATCATTAGAAATATATGAAATGAGTGAATAGAGCCTTGGCAGAGCAGAGATGTTCTGGGGCTAAAAGTACGAGTGAAGGGGAATTTAAACCACAGGACACACTTAAATTTGAAACTGCATTAAATTCAGTCAGTTCAGTAGCGAGACGTTTTCCCTTCAAATGTGAAAAACCTACAGGACCTGCACACCACTGCTGCTGTGCGTGTGTGTGGGAGGGAGGGGGGGGGGCTATTTCAGTAGCTGAGGAGAGAGATCTATAAATTATAGATCAGCTGTGACATCATCAAGGCAGCTGTGGCAGGCGTGCTCTGCTCTATGCTATCCACAGGGGGCAGTGTAGGACTGCAGTACACACACTTTCTCCTCTCCTCTGTATTGAAGCCAGGACAATAAGTCATGTTTGTATTAAGTCATATTTCAGTGAGCAGAATAAAGTCTGGGGCAATGTTTAGGTGAGAGACCAGGATCTCAAATCTCAGTTTGTCATTCTGAATAGACAAACCTGAACAGTACATGAGAGGCTGTAGCGATCATAAAATTTACACTGTGGGTGTTTTATGAGCAGTTTCTCATATTATGACTAATCCTAATTAAATACCAGTGTTAAAGTAACATTTAAATGTTTTCTCGTTCTGTTCGTAAGGGCCATGAAGAGACTTCTTACTGATGCACTTTTTGCTCCTTGTTATGTAAATAAAAATTCAAAAGTCTCAGCAGCAGTGAAGGGATTGTAAGATAATTTTTTACTAAAAAAGTCAAACGTTTTAGACGGACTATCTTTTTCTCCAATAATAATAATTAAAAAATAATTCTTCAGCAATTCAAGAGCAAGATGAATGCTTTGAAACTGCAGAATTTCATTTTGGGGGATACAATTTCAATTAATTTACATTTGATCACCGCCACAGTATGTTTTCATAGTAGTGTTTTCATGTGTGTTTGTGTATTAGTTAGCAGCATCACACGAAATTAAAGGGACATGATCCAGGAATTTTTTCTTCACTTTCCAAGGAGTGGAATGATGGAATCGTGACGTCAGTATTTCTAAAATCCTCAATACAGTCCTGGATATATAATATATATTAAAATCTGCATTAACTGTTCATTTGCTGGTGCTTTAAAAGTGAACAATGCTCGGTTGCTCCATTGGAAACTAAAGTTCCAAGTGTCTATGTCGAAGTCAGAGGAGCTTAACATGACTGAATATAAACAATGGTTTTCAGCCCCTCAAACTCATTTGTTTAATTCTCACCTGGGCCTGTGTTTATCTGCACGGTTCTAAGGAATCAGGGACCATTTCAAAAAATACTCCACACTCCAAGAGAAGCTCCGCCATATTTATAAAGCTTTCCAATTCACTCAGAGAGTTGAAGCTCTCCTTTCAGAGGCCATCATCATTTTATGAGTCTCCAAGTAATAAAAGGAAATGAATGGCTTCTTGCGGTGCCTCTGTCGTGATAATGTGCGTTCAGACCATAAGGCTGATCTACAGTATAAATGCACTTACACAAATGATTTACATCAGCTGTGCTGTTAGATCAGTAAACCTTGTTGAGGATACTGTCTTAAATGCTTTATTCGCTTGTTATTCTTTCCCTGTGTACCTTTACGAGTCAATAAGCTGAGGAGGTTATGTTTTCACCCCTGTGCATTGGTATCTTGTTTCTTTGTGTTTTGCAGGATTACAGAAAAGCTGAACCCAACAAATTTCTACCAAACTTGGAAGGATGGTACATGGACCAATAAAGAACAGATCTGGAAAAAGGGTTGGATATGGGGACTTATTTTAATCACTTTCTTAAACAAAATTGCAAATTTGGATCTTGATGAAATATATATACATTTAAGATGATATCGATCAGTGTGTGCAATTTGGTTTAGCTTGATTGAAATTAAAGGGAGTGTACGGCCTTGAATAAGGTATGTATGGGATATTGTTTGCACAAAAACATGGATGCATGCTGGTTTTAATAAAATTATTATAATTAACTTCTCCATCTTCTTTGAGTTACCGTTAAAATCTGGCTTAGCAAAAACTACTCTCATAACCCCAATTTACTTACCTTCCAGGCTTTAAAAGCCAGGTTAGCAGTTATTAGCTACGTGAAAAGCTTCTAAATCCAACCAAGTATTCTTACCGCCACAATGTGCAGCATAATGGCCCCGGTCTTTCTTTCTGCATTGGTGAAAAGGTCACCGGGGAACTCGTGTATTGCTGAGGAGAGAAGGAAACGTCACGGTCAGCACACATCAGCAGCATGACAGTGGGGTACATGTTCCCGCCGCAGCCTGCGAGGACTGTGTGAATTCATAACGGATGTCGGGCTCCAGGGAACAGGCCTGGGATGCCCTGTAGGCTCAGCTGGCTTAACTCTTTTTGTTGCGGCACCTAAGGCACAGTTACTCCTCAAATCTCGCTTTCCACTGGATTATCTATGTGAGCAAAAGTGTCTTGTTTACCAAAAAATAAACAGAGCATAACAGCCAGAAAGGGTCAAATGCAAATCAAATAGCTGCCTGTGATCATCATCCAAAAAATGTCTTCACACTCAGACATCGTCAAAGGCTTTGAATTTTCAAAAGGACTGAAATGGTTGACTTCATATGTATTCATGGAAAATAGAGAATCAAGTGTCACATGTAAAAAAAAAAAAAAAAACACTGTTGTAAAAAGCTTGGGCTATATTAGGAGCCTGAAGTCATACAGAATTAAAGCAGGGGACAGAAAAACGTCCCATGCTGAGGACTCATCATCCATCATCCAGAGCTCCAGCTGGAACACAGTGTGACAGTGGTACCACCAGACGGCTCAGATCTCTGGGAGCACGGCCACTCCGCAGAGCACCTGGCCGGGGAGCAAAGCTGGCCGTCCCCCCGGCACCTGTGGGGAACAGCCTCTGGCCGACCGACCTGTCCCCGTTGGGGCCGAGCTGCAGGCTCTCATCTCGTCTTGCTTTGTATCAAGCCGGCAACATTACCGGTATATTGCTTACATAAGCCACATCTATCTAAGCTACAGTTAGCCTTATACAGCTGCCAGCTAGGCTCTTTGAGGCTGTACTCAGGCATAGCAGAGCTTTGAGCTAAATGCCAAGATTAGCATGCTAACATGCTCACAATGACAAACATGTTTCCTTGGGTATAAGGCCCTCCCCCCCATCTTAGTTCAGTGTATTAGCTTTTAGTTTTTCAGACATTTGGTCACAAAGTATTTGACAAATTCACCTGATGAAGGCGCAGGATGAAAAAGATCAAAAGATAGGGAAAGGAGCGGTGATTTTAAAATCATCCTGAAGGCAACATGGATGTTAATGAGCAAATGTCCGTCCAAAATCGAGACATTTGACTTAAAAACAAAACCGATAAGAAACCTTGGGTTTCTTGTGGCTGTACGTGTTAGAGGGGCATCAAGGTCACTGAGCTTCCTCTTCTGGAGAGCATGAACATGTAAACATGTGTGTCCTCTCACATACCTGCCCAACCATTAAGCCTTCAAAAATGACTGCATTACCTTTTAATATCTTTGTTTGTTCTACTAATGGGTTTGTTTGGTTCATGAATGCCTTTTATATTGTTTGGACCAAAATCTTTTATCTGTTTGTCACTAACATAACTATAAAACTTAAAGGGAATCAAGTCTGAGATAAACATTTCAAAATGGACAGAAGTCCCAAGAAATCCTTTGAGAATATTGAGAACTGCCGATTCTCAGAATTACAAACACGATGTCCAATCCCTTCACTTCATCCGACATGGAGATGCATGACTGCCCCTGGTATTTTGCTTCACATACCATCAGATAAACAAAGGAACAAACAATAAAAGATTTCAGAGTTCATGGATAGGAGAATTGAATTAGTCATACATCTGAGTGTTAACCGCGCTTCAGTACAATGCCTTTTTAAATCTCAGTTGATCGTCAGCTGACTCCTTCACAACTTATAGGCAGAAAAAAACGTAGCATCACCATCAATACATCAATTACTCAATCTACAATGTTCATTTTTCACAGCAGCTAGAATGGAAACGGATTTGCAACACAGCTTTTCTGTTCCATTTATGCTTAATGTGTTGGAAAAACAGCAAAACAATGCTGTTTACAAGATTTGGGCCCTTGTCACATATGGACTCATGAAGTGGAACAGTGCTCACCTGAGACTTTTCACTGCATCTGTCCCGACCTCACTGATGCCTGTTTTTATGATACTCGGTGTGCACACATGACTGAATCGGCGCAGCATTTGGAACACTGCACAGGCAAATCAAATACTCCACAGGATGCAAGTCCAGGTCCACTTAATCAACATGCATGCCTCCTGGATTTCATCCAATTACATCACGTATATGGAAATGTGGCACACGGTGCATCTCCATATGTCATCAAACACATTATCTTTGCCGCATAACAAAGAGCCACGACTACAATGCTATTTCTGGCGGTGGGAAACAAATTAATCCGACCTTGATTTGTAGGAGATTCGGTATCTTTCAGGCATCGCTGCGGCGCTTCATGATAGTAAATGCACCCATTTTCATTGCGGGACTAATAAATAAATAATAAAAACTTTAGCATACAAGTAATGTGGATTATGACCGTAATATACAAGGGTAATGAGAAGCTGCACAACACCTGGATGACATTGAAAACAACGACTGTGGCAAGCGGCTTTAGCTCATTTCATTTCTGACGGGTTTATGTGCTGTATTAAACGTGTCAGAGAGCAGGCGGCCTCAAGCAAAGGCACAATCAATTACAGGATTTGTCAGCTGTGCCCTCAGAGGTGACTGAAAACAAACTGATGCCAATACAGAAAGCTAAACTCCCACTGATACCTCGTCCACAAACACCACCACTATATATCATTGTAGCTGCACAAGCTCGACTGTTAAACCTCTGAAAACATTAGGTTTGGATTTACTCCTTTCGACATCTGTTCACCTCATGTAGTCCTTTCAATTCAAATATTGAATGCCATAGCCACCCATGTTCTTTAGTTACCGTTTAGCCCCATGCTACTGTACACAATCAGCTCTGGCTGCGTGGGTGTTAAAAATAGGTGTTCACAAAAGGTGTTTAAAGGGCACCAGCACTGGGACAGCCGAGAGATGACAGGCAAGCAGGGGTCACCTCCCGGCCTCTTTATACACTCAACGTGACAGCGTCTGCAAGCTTCGTCTGTGTCTCCTCAGCGTAGAGGTCAAACCGGACATGCACATGCCTCCACAGCCATTTCACACACAAGGACGGGGACAGGATGGGCACACAGGAGCAGGGGGATAGACGGACTTTTTCAACGAAGCATCTCAAATGAGGCCCATAAATAGAATCATATATATTATGTAGCTCTGTCGAGTCAAATGCCATTTTTACAGAACTCAAATAAGATAACTAAAGACACACTTTTGACATATACATATAATTCGTAAGATGCATTGTGGGCAAATACAGATGTCTGCAATGTGGTGCAGATTTAAAAATAAATAAATCTGGATCTAGTGAATTTAAATGTGGTTTCATAAGTGGGCACTTTACTTTACTGAGTTTCATTCTAGTTAATCCTTTCCCAATACAGCACTGAGATATACAGAACTCTAAACATTTGGCATCTTGAACCAAAGGATGTCTTCCAATGTCTTCTAATTTTGTATTTAATTTGGCCAGAGATTCTTAATCTTCAGGTAAATGTGTTGAATGAATTGTGCCAAGTAAACTGCTTTCAGAATAAACTGCAGTCTGCTGTACAAAGGTTCTGTGACTGTACACTTCTGAAAATACAACTAAAACCTTTATCCTGCTGTTGTCCTGTTTGTATAGGACTGCTGTCTGTTTCGGAGCCAACGAGGGAGAGAGAGCGCGAACAAAAGGACGTCAGGACTGGCAGGGCATGCAGCAACCCAAAAAAAAAAAGTCCTTTTCAGAAGCTAAGCCACAAATCTATAAATAAACCCTGGATTCTCTGTTTGGACACCTGACTGGGCCGCTTATGCAAGAAATTACTGGCAACAATTTTTGTTCATCCTTCTCCCCCAACCCTCTGCTCCTCATCTTATCAACTCCAGAAGTAATTACAAGGCCACGCAGAGACCTCACAAGAAGTGTTGGGAGGATTTTACGAGACGCAGCGCTGCCACAATCCACATTAATACTTTTAACACCATCACCGGCTACACTGGGGTCAGTTAGGTACAGCACAAAAATTATTGGATGGGTGGTTCGGTGTGCACAGTACACTACAGGGTCGTCTTGTCAAGCTCAGTAATTCCCATCATACTCAGCTTTATCTCAATATTACCATTACCGTTCACTTTTAAGTGAGAATACACTCATTTCCACATTCACAAAAAGTGGTAATTTAATGTTAATGCCTATGACACGTTAGACTGTAAATAAAGATGGCCGACACATCTCCACCTCCTCCTATTGAACAAAAATGACCCCAAAATATCCCGGATAGGAGAACCGCCATGCTGCAACTTTGACGTCATCTGGAGCCAGAGTCTGTGCAGTAGTGATCGTGGTGTTGAGACGCGCTATCAGGTCTAGCTTCAATTAACTAACTAAAACCAAACTTATCAGGAACATGAACACTTGAAGCAACAACGGTCTGATAACTAGAAACCATCTTGAGGAAAAATGTATATCACTTGTTCTCAAAACTAGTTTGGTCCATGTCTCAGTTTTCAACTATACTGCAGCCAATACAATCATGTCTCAATATACTTTTCCACACAGGCTACTTTCCACAGCTTTAAGTCTTAGTTAATATACGGAAATCCCCTCAGTTAACCTTAATATATTGACGTATTAAAGTCAGCATGCAAGCCATTCTCTATATTTGTGCAATTACTATTCTATAATCTGGTAATATTTCAGATTCTATGGTGCTGTTACATAATGGAGCTCAGTATCAGGACTTACAGGAGGCCGCTCTTTAACACAACGCTCACGCAAATCCCAGTTACAGATGTCCTGCAAACGGCACACTTTCAAAACGGTATCGTCACAATGACATCATTGATTAAAAACAGCCACATAAAAATACAACGACACTGGCGCTACCTTCTGTCACGGCCTGCACTCACACACCCGTCAGGTCATTAATGCAACACGAGTGACACTTCAGTAATGAAGAGACTCTTGAGAGGAGAACGGTTCCTTTGGGTCATCATTAGCCTATTAGATAATTAACTTGCTCCGGCAGACATGAGTGAGCA